CCTTGCATCTGCAGACAAGGCCCGCGCCTTCTAAGCAAGCAGGGGTGCTTCTGAGAAGCCCTCCCCCCTCCCCCTGCCCCCCTCTACGCGCGGCCGACGCTTGGGTGGCCCTGATCCTGTAGAGGCAGGCGGCCGCGAACTGCGTGTAACCGATCTCGCCGCTGCCGCTCCTTTGGACGCCCGCAGCGGGTACGGGAAAAATGGGCACCATGCCCAACAGCAGATGCTGTCCAAAACCAACAGCGGGTCCCGTTCAAGATGAACAGAGGAACTGCTGTTGGGCAGCGTACCCGCTCTTTCCGCACCCGCTTCGACCGTCCCGAGCTCCTGTCCAGGGCCTCGAGCAGCTCGCGGGCGCCGGCGCTCCTGCCCCAGCAGGCGGCGTCGACGGAGTGCTGGAGCTCCTCGAGGGAGATGAAGCCGCGCCCGGCGGGGTCGAGGCTGACGGCCAGCGGCGAGCGAGGGGGGGGGGGGGAACGTGCGAGGGCGGAGGCCTTCCTTGGAGGGCGGCGGGGCTCCTCGGAGGCCCTGCGGCCCGCCGAGAAGGCCCTCCGCATCCACCGGGGACGCTTCGAGAAGGCTCCTCGGAAGGGGGGGGGCTTCCGAGCCTCCTTGGAGGGCGGCGGGGCTCCTCGGAGGCCCTGCGGCCCGCCGAGAAGGCCCTCCGCATCCACGGGGGACGCTTCGAGAGAGGGCTCCTCGGAAGGGGGGGGGGGCTTCCGAGCCTCCGGAGAATCGGCTGCGCGCACGAGTGCGCCCCGGGTAAGAGCGGTCTGTGGTGCGCGGGTGTTTGAAGGGGCCCTGGGACACACTAATAAATACACACAAATAAAAAGATTCCCTATATTTTCCCATATTTTCTGGGTTTCTGTCTTCCCCCCCACTTCCCATATTTTCCCATGTTTTCTTGGGGGTCGACGATTAATTGTGTCTGTGTGTTTTTGTTCCCTCCTGAGTGTTGCTGGGGCCACGAGGGGGCCGGAACACAGGCGCGCACAGACGCTGCTGTCATATCGCGCTGGGCCCACACCCGAGGTCACTCCGGCGAAAGGGTCACGCTGACGTGCAGTCGATAGAAGGCCCGCTCCTGAGCAGCTCCCCCCCTGCTCGCCGCCGAGATGGGAGAGGAAGCAGAAGCTGCACGAGCATGCTCGGTGGTTCAAAGATGGGGTGTCCTGAGGCGTGGGGTCCCGAGGACGAGGTGCCTCAGATTATGTAACTACCCTTGGACCCCTTCCGATCCTTGGGACCCCAACCCTCAGGACACCATATTTATCTAAACCACGGAGCATGCGCTTTCGGGGACCTGCTGACCCGGGTCAGTCCAAACCAGGGTCCGTCGGGCTTTGCAGGATGCTGAAAGATACTGCAAGACTCTGCACCCAAGCCCGGGCCAGTGCGACCCTGGCCCTGCAGGATGCTGCAAGACCCGGCGCTCTGGCTGACCCCCGTTCGCACTGACCCCCGTCCCTTGGGCCCCGACGCTTTCGGAGGCCAGCGAGGGGACTCCTTGGGCCCCCCACCCCGCGGCGCCCCTTTGCCCCTGTGGCGAGCTGGTCGCGCGCCACGGGGAGGCGGGCCCTGCGCCGACCCCAGGAGGCCGCGCGGAGCTCCGAAGGCCTGTGCTTCGAGTGGGCGATCGACTGCAGCATGGACTCACCCCAAACTTGACTTGCTCGTCGAATCTGCGAGAGAACACGCAGAATGCTCGCAGGTCTACCTACCGGGACATTCTGAGTATGTTCTCATAGCTCTGACGAACAAGCCAGTCGTGGGGTGAATCGATTCTGCAGTCAGTCCCCTGCTCGAGTGCTCGTGCCGCTCCTGGCTCCTCGGGCTGAAGTCGCGGCGGATGCGCACCAGCCGCTCCTCTCAGGACGAGGCCAGGGCGAGGACAAAATCGGGCGAGGATGAATCGAGAATGTCCGAAATCTGGCGGCTCAGAAAGAGGAGGAGGAAGAGGAGAGAAGAAAAGGAGGAGGCCCAACATGAATCGAGAATCTCTGAGATCTGGCGGCTCTGGAGGATGTATCGATATAAGTCGGAAACCTCGGAGAATCGGCAGGTTTGAAGGATGCATCCTGGCGCGAATGAATAGGGAATGATCAGTGATCAACGGAGGGGGGGGGAAAGGTGTCCTCGAGGCTCCTTTCTTGGCCCGAGAGGGCACCTTCAGGGGCCCTGGAGGACCTCTCTTCGGCAGCCCTCGCTGCCCCCCCCCCCATTTATCGCCGCCCCACGACGCGCCCCCGAAGTCGGGCGCCACGGCCCTCTCAGGGCCTTCCGGGGCGCTCTGAGCGTTCCGGAACGCCCTGGAGCGGACTCATCCTCGCCCTGGCCCGGCCCGAGCTCCTCCCCCAGCCGCGACGCCATCAGCAGCAGACAGTCCTGGGGGAAAACCAACAAGCACAGATGCCGCTGCTCCGGAGAACTCTCCCAAGAGAGGCCAAGAAAAACGCGGGAGCGAGGCAGGGTTGCAGTACCGGCTCCTCCTCCTCCTCCTCCGCCTCCTCCTCCTCTTATTATTATGTTTCGTATTATTTTCATTATTGTTACTACTATGTATACTATTACTGATATTATTATTCTTCGTATGACTATTCTTTTTATTGTTTTCATGATTAGCATGCGTAGCATTATTATTAGTCGTGATAGTATTATCAGTATTATTCTTAATATTATTACTTGTACTAGTAGCATTAATACGAGTAGTGTGATTATTATGAAACTGTGTATTATCATCACCCTTTATGATTCGTATCATTATGTTTCTCACTCGTCTCTTCTTAGTGTTCGCATGATTAGAGAGAGCGTGATCCACCGCCGCCTTACTGTGGAAAATTGCCAACCTTTTCCTCTGGAACCCGGGGGTCGCCCCCCCCCCCCCCCCCCCTCCGAAAATCCCCCCCCCCCTGCTGGAACCCCTCCCCCCCCCCCCCCCCCCCTCCCCGGCAAAACCCCCCCTCCCTAACCCCTCCCCCCCCCCCCCCCCTCCCCGCTCGAAAACCGGGGGGGTCACTACCGGTTCGAACCCCTTCCCCCCCCCCCCCCTCTCCGGATCCGAAAACCGGGGGAGGTCACTACCGGTTCGAACCCCCCCCCCCCCCCCCCCCCCCTACTCACCGCCAGCAAACGACTCCCGGTCCCCACCACCGTCCGCATCACATCCCCCACTGGTGTTCCCAGCACCACTGTCCTCACCACCGCTGTCCCCACTGGTTCCACCACCGCCCCTACTGTCCCCACCAGTGGCCCCACCACTGTCGCACTGTCCCCGCTGTCCCCAGAACTGTTCCCACCACGGTTCCACTCTCCCCACTGTCTCCACGGCCCCAACCACTGCCCGACTATCCCCACTGTCCCCACTGTCCCACTGACTCCTCCGCTGTCCCACTGAGCTGTCCCACTGTTCCCACCACTGTCCCCACTGTCCCCACCACTGTCCCCACTGTACCTCTGTCCCATTGTCCCACCGCCGTCCTCGCCACCGCCTTCACCACTGTCCCCACCACCATTGTACCCTCCACTGTCCCACTGTTTCCACCTCATTCCCATTGTCCCCACACCACTGTCCCCACCACCACCGTCACCACCACTGTCCACTGTCCCCCCCTGTTCCCACCATTGTCCCCACCACTGTCCCCACCACTACCGTCCCCACCACTGTCCCACTGTCCCACTGTCCCCACCACTGTCCCGCTATCCCCTCACCACTGTCCCCACCAACACCGTCCCCACCACTGTCCGCACCCCCACTCGGTTTTCGAGGGGGGGGGGGTTCGAACCGGTAGTGACCCCCCCCGGTTTTCCGGACGGATCCGGGGGGGGGAGGGGGGGGTTCGAACCGGCGGTAGTGACCCCCCCCCCCCCCTTTTCATGATGAGCAGGGGGGGGGGGGGGGTTCGAACCGGCAGTGACCCCCCCCGGTTTTCCGGAGGGGGGGGGGGGGAGGGGTTCGAACCGCTAGTGACTCCCCTCGGTTTCCCGCCAGCAGCGGTAGAACACGCTCTTTCCATGATTAATATGATCATTCTTGTTAGCGATACTGCTATTATCTGAAAGTTTTATGATTATTCTACGTAGCCGTACTATTATTAGTATTACGATTCTTCTTATTAGCATTATTTGTACTACACTTACTATTAGTATTACTGTTCGCATTCGTCTTATTTTTACGTTGTTTATCGTTGTTATTGGTCGTATTATTCGTACCTGTACGGTTCCTATGATTGATATTCTTCTTCACATTCATATCATGATTCAACTGTGTTCGACTACTTTTCTTCTTATTAAGCATACCATGACTCGTATCATTCGGGGTAGTAATATTATGTTTATTGCCAGTAGTATTGATATTATCTTTAAAAAAGTTTAATCCGTCGTATTATCAGTGGTTGACCTATTAATATCAGCCGTAGTATTGGTAATGTTCTTGTTCATACGATCGGTCTTCGTATTAGTGTTACTCTCATCGTCGTATAATTAGTCTGAGTGCTATTTAAAAAATTAATAGTATGTACATGTTTGTTCTTCTTATTATTATCATGATCTGAGCCCCCCCCCTGCCAAGGTTCACGTTTTTCTGCCGCGTCTCAGCGCATAGAGACAACCTATGAGATGGAGCGTCGAGCAGCGCGGGCCAGCGCCAGCGCGCGCAGGCCAGCGAGACAGAGCAAACGCGACACAAGACTCTGCGCCCCGTGGGAGGGGCGAAGTGACGCCCAGACAGGTGGAAGATGGGGGCGGCTGGCGGGCCCCAGGAAAAACTTGAGCATAGGTTGCGACATACGGCAGTCAAACGAGCGAGAGATCATTACCATGCTAGCACTGCGCATGATCTGAGCTCCCCCCCTGCCAAGGTTCATTTTTCTCTGGCACGCATCAGCGCAAAGAGACAATTCAAGAGAGCGAGCGTCGAGCAGCGCGGGCCAGCGCCAGCGCGCGCAGGCCAGCGAGACAGAGCGAACGTCATACAAGACTCTGAGCCCCGACCCACTGCCTCAAAGTATCTTGGCTTTGGCTACTACCAGCTCGAAAAGCACCTTGCAGAGCGCCGGCGGGCATGGGCGCGCCCTCGCTGTCCAAAAAACGCCGAGGGGTCTTTTCCTTTCAGCGCAATGTGACTCTTTCCCGTGACATTGCATCTCTTCTGAGAACCTGCGCACACGCGGAGGGGCGACTGCGCTGGCAGCCAATTTAAAAGCAGAAAGGCGGTCGACTTCCTGCCGGGAGCATGATACTGGCAGCAGTCGACCTGAGCCCAGTCGGCCTTCGCCGCGCGGGCCAGATCCAACATCTCGGGAACAAGCCACAGGCGAGAAGACAGAGGATTCTCAAGCGAAGCGGGGACTGCTGCTTCAACGGCGGCAACTAGCAGGCGCAGAACATTGGCTAGCAAGCGATTGGCAACCGAAACCTTCTCAGCGTCCGCCGCCGCCAGGTGCTCAAGACCATATGCACGCACATCATCTCTCAGCGGCGGCGGACCCATGCCGTCATTCTTCCGAGCCCTAGACCACGCCTTACCAGGCCGACGTGAACCCCAGCGACATCCTTTCGAGAGATCCTCAATGACCAGGCGATCGACGAGCCCGTCGCCAAGAAGATCGGCCCCCGGACCATCGGCGTAGCCCCAGCCCTCTGCAGCCCAGCCTGCGGCGTAGACTGCCTTGGCCAGATCGGCGGAGCCGCACGTGAGTTCGACGATCGGCTTGGCCCGTGCACGGGCGGGCGCACCTTTGAAGAAAGCGCGCGGCGGCGCATGCTCGAGGCCCGAGCAGGAAGCAGAGCAGAGGGCGGAAGGGCCGTCCTTGCCTGCGCGGGTGGAGCCACCAGCCGCTCGAGCTCGGCGCGCAGCTTCCTGGGCGCTGCCTCGGCACGGCGGCGGACGTCGGCTGAGAGGGGCGCCAGCTCCTGCTGCACCAGGGCGCGCGCCTCGCACCTCTTCATCGCGCAGTCGCTGGCCCAGCGCCCGCGGGCCTTGATCTCCGCCACGGGGCGGCGGGCGCATGAGGCGGTCGAGCGACGGCCCGCCGCGGCGAAGCTGGCACGGCGCGCACTTGGTCGGCGCTCCTGCGAGCTCCAGCGCGCGACGCCCGAGGGCCGCCAGCCCGAACAGCTGGGCGAGCGGGCCCCCCGACCGGGCGCGAGCCAGCAGCGGGCCCAGCCACGGCACCTCGGCCGAGTCGAGGAGCAGGCTCTCGTCGGAGAGGCTGGTCTTGCTGCACTCGCCCCAGGCGCTGGGGCGCAGGTTGAAGCCGTAGTCCTTCGACGAGCCCCCGGAGAGGAAGCGGCCCTGCTCGCGCAGCCCGACGGCCTCGGAGGGCCCGAGATAGGCCCAGAACATCGCGTCCACCATGAGCGCCGCGCGCGGGGCTGCCAGCTGCGCGGCCATCACGAGGGCCACGAGCGCCACGGTCTGCCACGGCATCGGCGCGCGAGTCTGGCCTGGGCCCAAGCGCTTCCAGCCCTGGAGGACCCGACAGAAACGCGGCAAGCGGAGCGAACCCCTTCGGGGAAAGTCGGGGCGCGCCGAGATGCACGCGGCATACGTCTTCAGGACGACGGCCCTCTCGAGCCCAGTGCTCCAGGCGTAATCTGCGTAGCTCGTCAGAGCTTGGTCGACCTGAGCGGCGGTCTGCAGCGGCAGAGCGTGGGGGTCGACAAACACATGGAGCTCGTCGACGACCTTCCTGTAGCACGCCTGGGTCTCGGGCGTCATCGCGTTGCACTCCAGCAAGCTCCGCTCGTCCTCCCTTACGATCGCGAAAGGTCCCGAGGCCAGGAGACGATGTGCAGCCCTCTCCTCCTTCCTGGCCCCGACGAAAGGCCTGCCCTTCAAGAAGCTCTCTTCTGGGCTATCTTGAGGTTGGCCCCCGGGCGCCTGGCCACCGCGCGGGGCAGGCGCGACGCCTCCCGACTTGGCGCCCCAGCGCCTCGACCCTTCATCAGCAGGGTTGAACTCGGAAGGCATCCAACGGTGCTCGAACCGCGATGCAGCGGCGACGGGGCAGGCAGCCTCACGGCGGCAGCAGAGCAGGAGGGGGCACGACGAGCAGCGCCCTCGGCCGAGCGCCAGCACGGTGCCCAGGTTGTCCCCGAAACGAAGGTGACGGAGCCCACAGGAGCCCCGGGCCCTCATGATGTGCCGCGACGTCATTTTAGAGGCCCTCCCCTCGACGATCGCGATAGCTTCCTTGACGTGAACCCTGGTCGAGACGACCTGCTTCAACTTGGGGCCTTGCAGAGCCTCACGGGGCACCTCAGTGAACTGCGGGTTGAGCTCCCAGGGGTCCTCGACGTGGTCCTCGTCGGTGAGCCTGGGGGCCTTGACAGCCTCGGCATCGGTGAAAACGTCGCGCGGGCCCTCCGAGGCCTCCCCCACCCCAGCAGCCCCAACTCCCAGAGCAGACCGGCGCGCCGTGATAGCCGAAGGCATGCGATATCCCCACCTCTCGCTGACGGAACCGATGCTCTTGACAAGATGTGATGAGAGTGTTGTCTGGCAAGCGGCCATACTGGTCAGACAAGCGTCGTAGGCGAGAACAGTCGGCGACGACTGAAGCCGCAAGTTCGCCGACATCAGGGGCAACAGGCGTCGGCGCTGCTCGACTTCGCGGGCAGCTGAAGGCCAGAGACGGGCACGAACGTGGCAGCAGTCCCTGAAGAAATCGCACAAACTCCTGAGAATCGATAGCAGCTCCCTTCTGAACATCAAGTGATCAATGAGATACCCAACATACCTCTCCACCTCCCTGCCCGCGACTCCAGGGCGCTGCTCTAGCCACAGAGAGGCCTAGCGCAGGCGCTCGGCGCGCTCAAGGCGCGAGAAAACTAGCCCGGAGCAGCCGTCAATCAGGCGGCCGAGGCCGCTGAAAACGTCGGATGCCTCGACCACCTCATGGATCTCAAGGCCGTGCTTCCTCCAGGCGTCGCAGATCAGGTGCATCGTGGAGCTGCATCTGACTGGGTCCATGCCGATCACGTTGATGTCATCGCAATGGGGCAAGAGGCGGGGGGGCCCCCCGCCAAGAGGGGGCACAGGACCGCGATCGGTCAGCACCCGAGGGACCCCGAGCCCAGAGACCGAGCAGCAGACGTGCGCGCTGGCACGCTGCCCGAGCCAGAAAGCCCAAGACCACCCCATCGGAACGACACGGAGGAAGGACCAGACCCAGCCCCCAGACGGCCCCTCGGGAGAGCCCACTGCCTCAACCCTCCATTGCGACAACGAGGCCTGGGAGACCGGCGGCAGGGCGAAGAAGAGACCGAGCTCCTCCCTCAGGCCGAGCGCGTAGAAGTAGTTTCGCACGTCGGCCTGGGCACAGAAGGGCTCGGCGCGGTAGCCTCCTGCCTCATCCCGATCATCAGGAAGTCGAAGGCGACCATGCGCAGCCGAAGTCCCCATGGCCAGCGGCGGCGGGTCGCGAAAACGTCGGTTGGGCGCGCGAGTGCCCCAGACGAGGCGCTGCGCCCCGCTCTTCTTGGCCACGAAGAAGGGAGAAAACAAGTATTTCGGGCGGCACATGAAACCTGGCATGTTTGCCCTCACCAAGTCGCCGGTGAAGGTGTTATACGCAGCGGGGTCACGCTTCAGTACTTCGCCCATATACGGAGTGACGGGCGGCTCGCTGTCCAGGACGCGGGGCCACTCGTCAGGAGTCTTCATCATCGTCTGCTCGTAGTCCAGCAAGTAGCTCTTCCCGATCTCATCGAGCACCGACTCGACGGGAGGTGCGACCTCACCCACATCCAGGATGTCGACACGGGATCCGACGCACCGCACCACAGGACTCGGTGCCTCGTCCGCAGTGCAGGACAGGCTGGAAGCCAGGAGCTCCTTCGCAGCTCCACGGCGGGAGAAATGAGTGTCAGACTTCGGGGCCATCCTGACCTCGCTCAAAATGGTGGCGGTCGCTAGACGCTGAGCCGCCGTGATGGGCCCACGCTGCTCACAAGGAGGGCGAAGAGCGTCGAGACCCGCAATAGCATCAGACGACGAAACTGACGACAGAGTCGGCGGAGTCGGCTGAATCGAGGGCAGCGGGAAAAGATCTCGATGACGATCTGCCGCCCTCCCCAGACCGGAAGGGCCCCACAGGCGACCTTCTGCAGGCTGAGGAGGGCCTGCCCTGGCATGTTGTCCGTCGCGGGACGGCCACCCCCCGCGACTCGAGGACGTCATGGTGCTGCGCCGCAGGAACCGCCGGCGTCGGTCTTGCCACCGCCTTTGCCACGGCGCAGCTTCTGCTCCTCCTTTGCCTTGCGGGCCTCCTTCAAGATCGCGGCACGGCCGTGCATCGCCGTGGCGACGTGCCGCTGCAGGTCGGGCGCGACGGCAGCGCCCTGGCGGTGGGTCGCCCAGCCCATGCAGTCGTCGGCGGCCGAATAGTCGGGGTTCGAGGGCGACACGGAGTGAGCGTCCAAGATGAGCTGGATCCTGCGGCAGATCAGCTCTGCGCTCTGGAGCGCGGGGGCTTTGAGCTGGTCAACGGTCACCAAGGAGTCCAGCACCCTCGCCAGCACCCCGTGCTCGTGCACCGAGCGGTCGCCATCGGGGATGCGGCTCGACCGGAGCCAGTTAGCGCGGTGAGTGATGAGCGTCAGCCCCGCGTCCCTCCACGACCTGAGCACCCACGAGCATGCACGGGGGCCAGACAGCATGACGCCCCCCTCGGGCTCGTCCGAGACCTGGAGGCCCACCGCCTCGCTGAACGGGCGGCGCCTGGCACCCTCCTGGTTGAATCGGACGGGCAGCACGCGGAGGTCGCCCACCACGAACGCGTCGACCTCCGCCACGGGGACCTGCCTCGCAGCGACGATAACACCCCCGTGCGGGACGAGCGCCACGTCGCCGTGAGTGGTCGAGCCCGCCGGCAGCGGGTCGGGCAGCCTCTCGCCCCGCCTGAGGCCGCGATGATCCTCGGCCACGAGCCAGACGGTCCCGGCGGGGGCTGGGGCGGCTGCCGCCCCAGCACGGGGCACGCCTCCTGCCAGGCCCGGGCCCCGCGGCGCGGGCGCCGCCGCGGGCGACCCCCCCTGCGCGGCCACGGGCGCGGCAGGCACGACAGCCGCGGCGCCCGCCGCCGCAGCGGGCGCAACACCTCCGATCAGGAGCGAGCCCTCACGGATCAGCTGCTGCACCTCCGCCGCGGTGGGGACCTGGCGGAAGCGGTACACGCGGGCTGGGTTCACGCCTGGGGGCGTCGCGCCCTGGGCGCCCGACCAGCGCACGTCTGCCAGGTCATCCGAGGTCGTGTGCTCGGCGTAATGGTTCCCGTCTGGGGAGTACGCGCTGATGAGACCAGGATCACCGAGAGAGACGCCTGTCAACAGCCTCTCGTGGTACACCGGCGAACCTGGAAGGTCATATATGAGGAGAATGTAGTCACCGACTCTCGCCATGCCTCCGCCTCAACAGATGCAACTGCTCACGAGCTCGCTTTCCGACCCCAGCTGATTCAGCCTCGGGTGCGCGGCCGCGCCTCCACGCGGCGCCGCTCAGCCCGAGCCCTGCCCAGAGCCCCGCCCGGCCTCCCCAGAGGGCCGAGGGCACGTCGAGCCCGGCGGGGCCCGGAGGAAGTCCTGCTGACGGGCAGGACAGGTTGACCAGCGGCGCGGGGCAAACTGGCGAGGGGCAAGAGAACGCAGGGAACACCTGCGGCGGACAGCTGACGTTCGCGGGCGGGCACGCCAGCGAGACCGCGGGGCACGCAGGCACCGCGGAGAGCACCGACTGTCTGAGGGCCAGCAGCTCCAGGGCGCGTATGCCGGCGGTCTGGAGGGTCTCGGTGAGGCCTGCTGGGACTCCCATGGGACCTGATTCCGGAAAAAACTTGAGCATAGGTTGCGACATACGGCAGTCAAACGAACGAGAGATCATTATCGTGCTAGCACTGCGCATGATTATAAGTATGATTCGCATTTGCAGGTTTACTCATATGCGTCGTCTTGCTTGTCTCATTACTGTGCTCATTATGATTACTATTATTAGTATTATTATTATTACTACTACTACTACTACTACTACTACTACTACTACTATGATTATTGTTAGTATTATTATTAGTATTATTAGTAGTAGTAGTATTGGGATTAGTCTTAGTATTATTACTATTATTAGTATTATTACGATTTTTACTATTAATACTAATAATAATACTGACATTGTTATTCGTAGTACGACTACTACTACTACTACTACTACTACTACTACTACTACTATTACTACTACTACTACTACGACTACTACGACTACTACGACTACTACGACTACTACTACTACTACTACTACTACTACTACTACTACTACTACTACTACTACTACTACGACTACTACGACTACTACTACTACTACTACTACTACTACTACTACTACTACTAGTATTAGTATTAGTACTAGTATTACGTTTAGTAGTAGTAGTAGTAGTAGTAGTAGTAGTAGTAGTAGTAGTAGTAGTAGTAGTAGTATTGAAATTATCATTGTCATTGTTGGTATTAGTATTACTATTGTTATTGCTATTGCTAGTACTTTTAGTATAAAGAGAATGATTATTACTAGTATTATTACTAGTAGTAGTATTAATATTACTACTATTATGATTTCTCCTCTTCCTCCTCCTCCTCCACTTCCTTCTCCACCTGCTCCACCTCCTCCTCCTCCTCATCATCCTCTTCCTTCTCCCAGGGTAGCGGTATCGGTACCTGTCCCTCCTCCTCCTCCGAGGTCCTGCACGGCGCACGGCGCCCGCGCGAAGCCCTCCAGGCTGCCGAGCGTCCTGCGGGACAGGCGCGCGCCGCCCGCGCCGCGCTGGTCCACCAGCGGTTCCCGGAGCGCCTCGGGCGCGCTCGGCCTGCTGTCGGCGCTCCTAAGGCAAGCGCGTTCCACTGCTCGCAGTCACAGAGGGCAAAAAATCCACCCCCATAATACGCACCCCGACAAGCGAAGCCGATTAGTAAACGCATCCACGAAAGGAATCGAACAGGGCAGGGCTGTCAAGTAAACGCCCAGGGCCGTTTAGTAAACGCCCATTATTGGGCCCGGGTGGTGTTTTCTCACTTGAAGTCAACCCGTATAGTAAGGACGCAAGAGAAGGATGCAAGGGCCTTGGGAGGCCATGTCGACACTTTGCGAGCGCGGCGCGGCCAGCAAGAGCGGCCAAGGATGGGCCGAAGGGGCAAAAAGGCAAGGGTAGCCTTGGGAAGGTTGCTCATCCTTACTATGCGGGTTGACTGTACAGTAGGTTCGTGCGGCGTCGGCGCGAGCAAAGGTTTCTGAACACCACGTCGATCGCCACACCTTGAGCCGATCGCAGCCCCGATCGTTCAAAATTGAATTCCGTCGGGTCATGTGACGTTACCGTGCCCCTCAGTGGTTCCGCGTGGTTCTATCACGCGGAGCTCAAACTTGAACGCATTCGCTGACGTCGCCAGCGCGCCATCGCCGCATGAACCTGCCGTACTCGCAAACGGCCTGGATCCGCCGCGGAAATCCCACCAGCCCTGTAGGGCGTGAGTGGCTTGACGAGTTGTGTCTTCTCTCCCCCTCCTTCCGCTGCTCGGGGAGGGGTTTCCCCCTTCCCTGCCCCCTCCCCTGGGCCTACGAGGGAGGAGCCCCCGGGCAGTCAGAGTTTCAAAATTGGCCCAAGATGGCTCCAAGAGGGCTCTCGGCAACCCAAGTCGGCCTCCAAGATGGCTCAAGATAGCCAAAGATGGTTCAATATAGCCTCCTGCATACCTCCAAGAGGCCCCCAGACAGCCCCAAGACGGTTCCAAGTGCCCTTCGAGCCTTCCTAGGCATCATCCGAGAGGCCAGAATCCTTTCACAATTCGTGTAAAATCCATGTGTTTGCCTTCTCGCGTTTTCGCTTCCGATAGGCTTTGGAGGCCTCAAGATGGCCCCGGGATGGCCCAAGAGAACCCCAAGAGGGGCTCAAGAGCGCCCCAAAGCGGCCCCAAGAGCGCCCAAGAGACGCCGAAGAGCGGCCCTAGAGGGCCCCACTCAAGACAAAACACCCAAGACGCATTTCCACCCCCCCTCTTTTCGAGCCATGAGGACCAGGAGACCTCATACCCATCGAATGAGCTCCAAGAGGGCCCCAAGACCCCAAAAAACGAGCCTCAAGAGGGCCCCAACAGTGCCCCCAGAGGCCCCAGAGGGACCCCAAGAGAGCCCCTAAGATGGCATTAGTCGTCCTTCAAGGACCTCTCACGACAACGTACCTCCAAAACCCGCCTTCGCATCCTTCTTGTCATCATCCGTTCATTCCCTCCTCCTCCTCCTCATCCTCCTCCTCCTCCGCCTCCTCCTCCGCCTCCGCCTCCTCCTCCTCCTTCTCCTCCTCGTCCTCCTCCTCCCCCTCGTCCTTCTCTTCCTTTTCCTCCTCCTCCTCCCTCATCCTCCTCCCTCATCCTCCTCCTTCTCCTCTTCCTCCTCCTCCTCCTCTTCCTCCTCCTCCTCCTCCTCCTTTTCCTCCTCCTCATCCTCCTACTTCTCCTCCTCCTCCACCATTCCTTTTCCTTGTAAATAACGTCTCCCTGTCGCACCCCGAGGTCAGTGTTTAGGGCGGGCCAGGCGTTTCGCCTGAGACGTCCTCGCCATACATGACTCTGAAGCTTACAGATTGACAACAGTTTCACGGATGGAGGGCGGGTCGTTCTCAAAATGTACCTCTCGCCTTAGCGACGAGTACATTCGTTCTGACAAATGCAAGAGTGCACGGATTGCGGGCGGTTCCATCTCAAAATGTGGCTCTCCCCTTGGCGCCGCGCACATTCGAATTTAAAATGTGCTAGAGCTTCACAGATAGAGAGCGGGCCGTGTTCAAAATGTAGTTCTCGCATGGGCGCAGCGCACATTCGTTTTAAAGCATAGCAAGAGCCTCACAGTTTGAGGGCGGGCCGTCTTCAAAATGTGGCTCTCGACTTAGCGCCGCGCACATTCGTTTTTTATGCGCAAAAGCTTCACGGATTGAGGGCAGTTCCTATTCAACCTGTGGCTCTCGCCTTAGCGCCAAGCCCATTCGTCTCTGTAAGCGGCAAGAGCTTCGCGGATTGAGGGCGGGTCGTTTTCAAAATGGGGTTCTCGCCTCACCGAGGCGCACATTCGTTTTAAAATATTTGCAAGAGCTTCACGGATCGAGGGCGGTTCCTTTTCAACATGTGGCTCTCGCCTTAGTGCCGCGCACATTCGTTGTAAATATGTGCAAGAGTGGATTCGCATGATCAACATACCAGAAATGATGAGTTTGGAAAGGTTCAAGATTACGCGGGTGCAACAGGTATGTTGGTTCGCGGTGTTGAAGTCCCAAAAATGGCGTTCTGGCACGATTCCAGATCGTCAGGACGCAGCAGTCAGGTTGATCCGTGGCGTGGACATCCGAGAACAATGTTTTGGCATGCTTCAAGGTTTTCAAACGGCTGTCTTCCAACGCAGCAATTCCCTCAGTGGAAATGAACCGTTGTGGGGGCCAATGAAGAGGGAGCTTGGAGGGAGGGTCAATTCCAACATCGTTGATGACTCTTGGGTTTACACTGATCCTCATCCTCCTCCTCCTCCTCCTCCACCTCCTCCTCCTACCCCCAATATGGTCCCAGGTCGAGCATGGTCAAGATAGTCTCCGAAAGACCTCCAAGAGGCATCAAGACAGCACCAAGATGGCCCAAGATAGAGAAGCATGGCTCAAGATAGCCTCCGACAGCCTGTAACCGAGCATGGCTCAAAATGATACCGAAGAGAAACCCCACTCATAATCTTTTTGGGGGTATGGAGCTATAGGGCTATAGGGCTATATGGCTATGGGCCATAGGGCTATTGGGCCATAGGGCTATAGGGCTATGGGGCTATGGGGCTATAGGGCTATAGGGCTCCAGGGCAATCAGTCTGTATGGCAATAGGGCTATAGGGCTATAGGGCGATAGGGCTATAGGGCTATAAGGCTTGGGCTATTGGGCTATGGGGTTATAGGGTTATTGGGCTATAGGGATACAGGGCTATAGGGCTATGGGGCTGTGGCTGTAGGGCTGTAGGGCTATGAGGCTATAGGGCTATAGGGCTATAGGGCGCCATAGGGCTATAGGGCTAGAAGGCTATGGGGCTATAGGGCTATAGGGCTATTGGGCTATGAGGTTATAGGGTTATTGGGCTCTAGGGCTATAGGGCTGTAGGGGCTATAGGGCACCCGGGCACCCGGGCACCCAGAAAATTCCCGACACACCTCACCAAACCGGGCACCTGGGCACATGGGCATCCGGAAAACAATCCCGACGCACCTCACCTAAACTTATGAATCCGCTAGGGCCCCTACAGAGGCAAGCTCTGATTGGGGAATAACCTCCAAAGGGCCTTAAGAAAACCTCCGATCGTGTCCGGATGGGCTGGTAGGGATGCGCGGAGCGTTAAAAGTTCACGATCCGCTACATCCAAGCAACGCGCTCGGTGAGCTCCCAGGAGGCACTTTGCGAGTAACCGGTGGAACGCGCTCGGTGAGCTCCTGCACATCAGCGCCCGCACGAAGCTGCGCGCAGCCGGCCCTCGGCACCGGGCCCAGCACTCATCCTCCGTGGATAGAGGAACAAGACATGTCTTGAATAAAAACTTTCGGATGCCCCCAAGAGCCCAAGAGGCCCCAAGAGGCTCCCATGAGGCCCGAAAGAGGCTCCTAGGAGGTCCCAAAACTGCTCCCGAGAGGCCCCCGAGAGCGCCACTGAGAGACCCGAAGAAGCATCCCTGAGAACTCTGACCTACAACCCGGGCACGGTGGCGGGAGGGGCCGAAGGCCACTGGATCCGCCGCCCCCCCTGTGGTCTTGCCACGGGGGTGCCTGACGTGATGAAAACTCCCCCTGGGGCTTCGGCCCAGGGCGTCGGCCACGCGGAAGGCCGCGCCGCTGCGCAACCCACGCCTCCAAACACGGCCGTTTCGCTTGGGACATCCTGAAAAAATCGCGATCTCGGGGATCCTGGCCCAAGACGCCTTATATGAATGAGCGTCTGCCTCCCAAGTGCGCCCCCGAAGCCTCCAAGACGGCCCAAACGGAGGAATGGGAAGATTTTTCCTTTGGGAAGCCCTCTTGGGGGGCCTCTTGAAAGCCTCTTGAGGCGTCCTGAACCGTCTGGAGGCCACCTTGGGCGTCTCGGAACGACCCTTCGGCGACTCCGCCCCTGGCTATGGGGGTGCCCCGCGCCGATCCGGGCAGGTCCGCACGGACTTCTGGCAGCCCGTGCCTCTGCCGCTCTCCCCCCGCCGGGCCCCACGGGCTCAGCAGTGCCGCTCGAAGAAGAAGAAGAATCCACACAAACATTGACTTTGGCGCTCCGCTCGGATTTCTTGGATCCAGGAGGAGGAGGAGGAGGAGGAGGAGGAGGAGGAGGAGGAGGAGGAGAAGAAACCACACAAACATTGACTTTGGCGCTCCGCTCGGATTTCTTGGATCCGCGCCGGGGCCCCCCGGCGGCGCCTCCGGCGCCGCCCCTGGCGCGCTCCGCGCGCCAGGGAGGGTGGTCCAGCGCGAATCCAAGAAATCTGCGCGGAGCGCCAGAAGTAAACGTTTGTGTGTTTTTTTCTTCTTCTAGCCGCCTCCGGGGCGGCGGTGATTCGCCGTAGGCATCTTCGAAGACAAACGTTCGGAGCTCCGCGCAGACTTCTTGGATCGGCGCGGGAGCCCTCTGGCAACTTCCCGGGGAACCGCACCTGGCGCGCCCCGCGCGCCACGGAGGGGAGCCTGGCGCCGATCCAAAGAAATCAGCGCGGGCCTCCAGGAGTGCATGCTCGTATGATTTTCTGTTACCCGACTGGAGGAGAAAAAAAAAAACAAAAAAAAACAAACAAAAACAAAAAAAAGGAAACAAAAAACAAACAAACAAACAAACAAAGAACGTCGTCGTCATACTCCTCCTCCTCGGCCTCGTCCTCGTCGTCGTCCTCCGAGTCGGGTGGGGTTGCCGAATGTGCAAGATATTCCGAGGAGAGTCCAAACTCTGCTCCAGACTCTGCAGTAGCATAACCACGATAGGTTTTTAGAAACCTCTCCCAACAGATGGAAACAAATTATCTGTTCGGCGACCTTGTTGACGGCGAAAATAATCCTTCTGCGGCACCCGCCGCACAACAACGATGACGACGACGACGACGACGACGACGACAACGAGGAGGAGGAGAAGAAAGAGGGGCGAGTTGTTCGCCACGGAGAGAGACGGGGGAGGGGACAACAAATAAGACCTCCTGAGGTTACCCAGGAGTGGAATTGTTGAGCCTGCATCGTCGGCGAGCGAGGGGGGAAAGTGAGAGGGAGATTGCCTTCTCAGAAGGCGGCGGGGCTTCTCAGAAGCCCTACAGCCTTCTGAGAAGTTTTCTGTGGCTTCGGGGAAGGAGGGAGGAGGGAGGAGGGAGGAGGGAGGAGGGAGGAGGGAGGAGGGAGGAGGGGGGAGGGAGGAGGGAGGAGGGAGGACTTCGGAGCCCTCTGAGCAGGCCCGCCCCCTCATACTTGCCCCCCAGGCTGGCCGCCGACGGTTAGACCCCACGGGGGAAAGCGGCGGAGGCACAAACTGTCCACACCTTGCCGCAGCATGCCTCTGGAGGGGAAGAGAACGGACACCATGACCAAGGCTGAACGTGGAAACCTCGGGCCGATCTTGGTCACCGTCGATCCTGGTCAGCGCCAATTCGTGGATCATCCTCGCGAATCGGCGACGGCCAACGTGGACCATGACCAAGATCAGCATCGACAAGATCCCGCGACGTCTTGGCCCTGGCCCCCGTGCTTCTTCCCTCGAACCTCGGAGGCGGCTAGAAGAAAAAAAAAAACATAAACGTTTACTTTTGGCGCTCCGCGCAGATTTCTTGGATTCGCGCTGGAACCCCCTCCCTCGCGCGCGGAGCGCGCCAGGGGCGGCGCCGGAGGCGCCGCCGGGGGGCCCCGGCGCAGATCCAAGAAATCCGGGCGGAGCGCCAAAACCAATGTTTGTGTGGTTCCTTCTCCTCCTCCTCCTCCTCCTCCTCCCTCCTCCTCCCCTCCTCCTCCTCCTCCTCCTCCTCCTCCTCCTCCTCCTCCTCCTCCTCCTCCTCCTCCTCCTCCTCCTCCTCCTCTTCGAGCGGCACTGCTGAGCCCGTGGGACCCGGCGGGGGGAGAGCGGCAGAGGCTCAGGCTGCCGGAGGTCCGTGCGGACCTGCCTGGATCGGCGCTGGGCACCCCCATAACCAGGGGCGGCGGGAGGTGCCGCCTGGGGGGGGGGGGGGGGCTCAGCGCCGACTCAAGAGATCTGCGCGGAGCTCCGAAAGGTTGTCTTCGAAGATGGCTACGGCGAATCACCGCCGCTCCCCGCCTTTTGGCATCGCTCCTGTGGCCGAGCGTTGTGGCAAAAGCACTGCCAAGCTATCGGACCATGTGTTCCCCCAGCCGTTGCAGAAAGCATTCGGGGAACACTTGGGGGAGGATGGCGGGGAGGAGGAGGAGGAGGAGGAGGAGGAGGAGGAGGAGGAGGAGGAGGAGGAGGAGGAGGGCATCTTGGGAGCCTCTGGAGCAGCCTTTTTGGCGGCGCGCACAAGTGGTCAGGGGGAGGGGGAGAGGCTTCTTAGAAGGAGGCTGCGTTTGAGAAGGCGCCAGCCGTACATCTGTGGATGAGGCCCGCGCCTTCCCAGGAGCCAGGGTGCTCCCACGAAGCCTCCCCCCCCTCCCCCGACACCCTCCGCGAGTGGCCGACTTCCGCCGTTCGCCCGCCTGCGATCCTCGAAGTCCACGCCCTGGAAGCGACGGACGGCGCCGAAGAGCTCCTCTCGGGGCTGGACAGACCTCCCTTTCGTAAAACGTGGTTTAGTGAAAACGACCTGAGGCCCAAACCTGGCGGGCGCAAGCCTGGAAAATAACGGCCACGGCGCCCTCTCGAGAACCGAAAATGGACAATTCACTAATCGACGCGTCACTGTTGGGGGTTCTGTCAACCCCCGATCCTCGGCGCCGCCCTCGTAGTCGCCCGGCTCGCCGAAAGGCAGCTCCCCGGTGAGCAGGCGGTGCGCCGTGACGCCCACGGACCACACGTCGGCCTTCGGGCCTGGGACCTGCGGGGGCGTCCAGGAGGAGGAGGAGGAGGAGGAGGAGGAGGAGGAGGAGGAGGAGGAGGAGGAGGAGGAGGAGGGAGGAGGAGGAGGAGGAGGAGGGAGGAGGAGGAAGGGGCGAGCCTTCTCAGAAGGCTGAGAAGTCCCCCAGCTTTCCGCAATGTGTTCTGAGCCTTCCCCGAAGACACAGGAAACTTCTCGGGAGGCCAGAGGGCTTCCAAGAAGCCCCGCCACATTCTGAGAGGGCCTTCTCCCTCTCACTTCCTCCCCTCGCTCGCCGCCGACAGGGGGCGTGCTGAAACAAGAAGAAGGAGGATACAGGATACATCATGGCCCCAGCCATGACACCGCCCCCCTCCCAGTCGTCATCGCCCTCTTTCGGCCGCCCCCGGGGCCTGGGTTCGGTCCACAACCTTCGGCTGCACGCAAGAGTGAACCCAGGTAAGAGTGCCCTCTGGTGCGCGGCTGCAGGGTGGGCGCCGTGGGGGGGAGAGGGCCAAACCCAAGCGCGCAAGCCGCTGCCATCGCAGCGCGCTCAGCGATCCAGGGACCCCAGTGGGCCCGTACCAGAGGTCACTCACCCAAGCGCGCAAGTCGCTGCCATCGCAGCGCGCCCAGCGATCCAAGCCCCAGTGGACCCGCACCGAAGGTCAGCCCAGCGAGAGGTTACACGTACGTGCAGCCGACACCTCCGGGGCCATGTACGCCGGAGTGCCCGAGATGTCCCCCCGGCGGGCGGCCCCGTCGAGCGCCGCGAGCCCGAAGTCGATGACCTTGCAATCCAGCGGCGCCTGGAACTGCCAGGAGCGCGGCTCCTTCTGGATAGCGACATCCGGACCCTGCTCCCCACCAACCATCGGTTCTCCTGAATCGATGGGCGGCGGGCTCGGACTTCGTCACGTGTTCGCGGGATTCCGAAGCCCACCCCCGCTGCCCAGTTGCCCGAATCGTGGATCGGCGAGGGTCGCCTCCAATTCTGCTCAAAAAGGGTCCCCGGACCCCTGCCAGGGTGCAAACGCACCAGCCTTTCGAGCTGCGCCCAGCCGTGGCAACGAGGAGGGCACCCGAAGGCCAAGAAGCTTCGATTCTCGATCCTCGAGGGTCGAATCCTCGATCGGCGGTTCGGCTCTTCTTCTTTTTGCTTTTGGGGCTCGGATTTCGCCGCCGGTCCTTCCGCACCACCACCGTCGGAGGAGAGCCGGCCGAGACGGCCGCGACCCTACCGCCCAGGCCCCAGACCACCGCCCAGGCCGCGGCCCTACTGCCCTCCCAGGCCCCTCCAGGGATCCGTCCCAGCCTAGCCGCCGAAGTGGATCTCTTCGACCGTGGCGACGAGAGGAGGCCTCCAGGAGGCCCAGGAGGGACGAAGCCAACGATAGGAGGAGAGGGGGAGGTGAGGAGGAGGGGGAGGAGGAGGGAGGAGAGGAGGAGGAGGAGGAGGAGGAGAGGAGGAGGAGGAGGAGGAGGAGGAGGAAGGAGGAAGAGGAGGATCAGGAGGAGGATGAGGAGGAGGAGGAGGAGGAGGAGGGGGGAGGACGGGGGGGGAGGAGGAAGGACAGGAGGAGGAGGAGGAGGAGGAGGAGGAGGAGGAGGAGGAGTTGAGGAAGGAGGAGGAGGAGGAGGAGGACGGAGGAGGAGGAGGAGGAGGAGGATGGCGAGGACGAGTGAGGTAGGAGGGGAAGGGGAGGAGGAAGGAGGAGGAGGAGGAGGAGGAGGGAGGAGTGAGGAGGAGGAGGAGGAGGAGGAGGACGGAGGCATGAGGAGGAGGAGGAACGGAGGAGGAGGGAGGGGGAGGATAGGCGGAGGGGGAGGAGGGGGGAGGGGGAGAGGGGCTACGAGGGGGAGGGGCGAGGGGGAGGGTGGAGGGGGATGGAGGGGGCGAGGGGCAGAGGGGTCGAGCGGGGCGAGGAGGTGTGGAGGGGGGGTAGGGGGAGTGGCGAGGGGCAGGGGGAGGCAGGGGGAGCGCAGGAGGAGGAGGAGGAGGAGGAGGAGGAGGAGGAGGAGGAGGAGGAGGAGGAGGAGGAGGAGGAGGAGGAGGAGGAGCAGGGGGAGGAGGAGGGGGAGGAGGGGAGAGGAGGAGAGGAGGAGGGGAGGAGCGCCAGGAGCAGCGAAGCAGTTTCGAGCGCAGGAGCATGAAGCAGGAGTCAGGAGCAGGAGCTAGGAGCAGGAGCAGGAGCAGGAGGAGGAGGGAGAAGGAGGAGGAGGAGGAGGAGGAGGAGGAGGGGGAGGGGGAGCCTCCGAAATCACGGTACCCGGTGATGGCAGCATCCTGCCTCCTCCCTTCCGCATGGGGGGGCCCCTTCGGCGTGGAAGCTCGACGAGATGGAGTTCCTCCTCGGGCGGCCCGAGGTTGAGGGGGTCCTCATCGACCAGTGCGTTTTCGGGGCGCCGTCGATGAAGCCTACTCTCCTCCTCTCGGTTCACCTTCCTTCTCTTGGCCTGGGGGCACGGGCTGCTCGGGGGGGCGGGAGGTGCTTCCATGGCCCTCGAGGCCACGAGACCCTTGCGGGCATGGAGGGCAATTGGCAGTGGCGCACCTCTCGGGCTAAGGCGTACCCCCAGGGCATGTGCCGTCTTGCTGCTTCTGCTTTCCTTCAGGTCTTCCAGGGGAGATGGCCGCATGTCTGGGGAGCCTCTTCGGAGGAGGTCGAGCCGGACTTCATGGCCTTCTGGGAGCCCCTGGATCCGTACGTCACCCGAGTCATGGGCAACGACTTTGCTCGTGAACTCTCTCGCCCAGAGCCCTAGCGGGCCCGAGGCAACACGGTGCGAGGCCTCGGCCCGCCATGCCCCCCTTGTTGTTGTCTGTTCGGAGACCCCTGTTTCCCTGCCCTGCAGGCTTCCCGGACTTCCATCGCATGCTTCGCCCGTAGCTATCTTTCGCCTTGCTTTGCCATTGTGCCTGTCCCAGTTTTCCCTCTTACCTGGCCCGAAGGTGTCGCTTCGTGTAACGTTCATTCCTACCATGACTCCGAAGTCCAAAAGGAGGAGGAGGACAGGAGGAGGAGGAGGAGGAGAAACGGCCGACAAGTCGTGACAAAGGAGACGAGGAAGGCAGAGAGGAGGAGGAGGGAGGAGGAGGAAGGAGGAGGACGGGCCCACACCCGGGAGGGGTGAGGGGTTTGAGGGGGAGGGGGCGATGCGGGAGGAGGGGGAGGGGGTAGGGGGGCGAGGAGGGGGAGGGGGAGGAGCGAGGACGAGGAGGAGGAGGAGCCGAGGAGGAGGAGGAGGAGGAGGAGCGATGATGCGGAGGAGGAGGAGGATGCGGAGGATGCGGAGGAGAAGGAGGAGGAGGAGGAGGAGGAGGAGGAGGAGCAGGAGGAGGAGGAGGAGGAAGAGGGGGCGGAGGAGGGGGCGGGCCTTCTCAGAATGCTCGGAAGTCCCCTGGCCGTCTGCGAAGTTTTCTGAGCCTAGAAAGCTTCTCGGAAGGCGCGAGGGTTTCCAAGAAGTCCCGCCGCCTTCCGAGAAGGCCTTCTCCTTCTCGCTTCCCCCCCTCGCTCGCCGCCGACGGGGGGAGGGCCGCCGTCGCCTCGAGTGGCCCCCCTTCCGACCATCACGTTCTCTGGCTTGATGTTAGGGCGACGACATCTATACGTGTCCCCGGTCCCGTGGTCAGGCCCATCCTGACCCCCCGGCAGCGGTGTAGAACGCCACGGCCTCCTGGCTTGGCCAGGAGGGCGTACGCGCAGCTCCTGGGCCCAGGAAGGGCCCAGCCAGGGAGCAGTGGACATGTTTTGACTTCGTCGCCCGACATGTCGCGGTGCACGATGCGCTGCGCGTGGCAGTACGCCGCCGCGGAGAGCACCTGGCGCAGGAGGCGCGCGGCGGCCGCCTCCGCCAGCGGCCCGTGCCTCCTCAGGAGGCCGCCGCAGTCGCCGCCGTGGAGCCGCTCCAGCACGATGACCTGGGGGACGCACGGAGACATACGAATACTTAATGTCCTCCTTGGTGGGCAGCTTCTTGCTCGGCGTTTCGAGACTGGGCGGAAGGGGGGGGGAGGTCTGGTTCCGGACATCTGCTTACTGCGACTGTTTGCAACAGTGCGTCCCATGGGGGAGGCTCCACCTGCTCGAAACAGGCGCCAAAAACATCCAAGATCTACTCCATAGGGGGGGAAGGGGGGTGCGAGGGCCCGCGCCGATCGGCAAAACAATGAATGAGAAAACGATCACTTGGAGGCGTGCGTCCGACCCGAACGTAAAGTATGACCATCTTGTTGTACATCGTTTGCCGAGCGGTGTGGCCAGAAAGCGCCCGCCACGCCGCACATACTGAAAGATTTCTCGGTGCGCGCGTCGCCCCTGGGGGGGGCAACGCACACATAGTATTAGCATGTTGGGGTGACGCCGATGACCATCTGCTGCGAGTCGTACGCAAACTCGAAGATCTTGACGATGCTTCGTGGGACGCCAACTGCGGCTACACGCAGGAGTGACCCAGGGTAAGAGTAGCCTTTGGTGCGCGGCCTCTCGGGGCGCCGAGGGTGGACCGAACACAGGCGCGCACAACGCCACTATCGCAATCGCGCTCGGCGATCGGGGGACCCCAATGAGCCCGCACCAAAGGTCACTCTGGCGAAGGGTCCCTCGTACGGGCAGTCGACAACTAGCCACCGCACTGATCCCAGACGGGCCCGTCCTGGGCCGAGGATGGTGCCGGCCGGGATGGGCGAGGTGGTCAGTTGGCATCCCCCGAATGTTGGGGTGGTCCAGCCTCCTCAGGAGGTGCACCTCCCGCCGCACCGCCTCCTGCATCCGCAGAGGCAGAGAGAGCGGCACAAGCACACAAACTTGCCGAGGTCCGCGCGCGGTCCTCGGACCGGTGCTGCACCCTCCGGGCAGCGCCCCGGGCGCCGCCGGCGGCGGGGGTCGAGCGCCGATCCGAGGAAGCCGCGCGGACATCCGACTGGCTGCGCCTGCCGTGTTCCCTTCTCCGAGCATCCGCGCGCTCAGGTCCCTGGTGGCACAGACCTGAAGGGGCCCAGGGACACACAGATCCACAGGCGCACAGATCCCAGGACTTCTCACGTGTTTCTATCTCCTGGTTTCTCGCCCTCCCCCCCACTGCCCACTGATTCTCCATCCTGGAAATGGACCATCGGTTGTGTCCGTGTGTCTCTTCCCCTCCTCACGGCCTTCACCACCTTGTCCGAGAGGCCCCCAGCCTT